CCCATTTCCTCCTCCAGCTTATTTTACAGATGGGGAAACTTAGGTAAACAAGGTTAAGTGACTTGCCCAGGGTCACATATGTAGTAAGAGTCTGAGGCCAGATTTGAACTCAAGAAGGTAAGTCCTCCTGACTGCAGGCCCAGGACTCTGTCTACTGTGCCACCTAACTGCTCCAATATTACCTTTACTTATTATATTTATTATATTATATATTGCAATATAATATATAACATTATATAACATTATATAACATTATAATATATTATATCATGTTATAATATATTACATTATATTTTTAGAACTTTTTTTTGGACTTTATCTGATCCATTCTATTAACCATAGAAGAAAAGTCATCTACTGTTTTATAATCATACTTCATTTTTCATCAGAAATGACTTCTGGCTGTTTCCTGAAAGCAACCCACCTCCAAAGGATAAAGACTTGTCAGCAGTGAAAATATTCCTGAAAAATGTGATACAAGTTCAAAGGCAATTCCAAAAAAGTAATTTTAAAGCCATTTTGAGTCATAGTTTAAACATCATTTTAATGCTCCAGTAATCCAATCTAATGCACAATCTGTGCAAGGCACCATGCTTGGCATTGTGTACGAGGCCAAAACTGAAAATCAGCTCCTGCCATCAAAGACCTTAGATTCTAGCAGGAGAGTACACCATGCTCCTCTAATAGAATGTAAGCTTCTTGAGGGAAGGGAAGGTTTTGTTTTTGTCTGTGCATGTCTAGTGCATAAAATAATGCAGGGTGAATGAATAAATTAATGTCTAAACACATTAATTGTGTGTTAATTTAGATAAATACATGTGTGCATGTATTTATGTGCACACATACATCTATGTGTGTGTGTGTGTGTGTGTGTGTGTGTGTGTGTGTGCGCGCGCGCACATGCACACGGTTATTCACAGCAGGGAAACAGTAAGAACTATGGCAGATAAAGAAAGGTCTCCCGGTGACTAGGTCAACAGAGAGGAGACTTGACCGAACGGATGGATTCTAAAAGTCAGGGGAGGAAATGTGTATTCCAGACATGGTAGAGAAGCCTTCAATGGGAACTGTTTTGAAAGGAACAATATTCATTTGGGTGGAATGCTGAAATTTCCTGCGCAATCATGGGCACGTCACAGCCTTCTTGGGCCTCAGTTTTCTCATCTGTAAAATTAGGGGGTTGGATTATAGTTTACCTCTACTTTAGCAGAGTATTTGAAATTTCTCATGCTATTAGTTTGGAAAAGTTAGAAAGATGTAAGCTAGATGATAGAACAATTCCATGAATACAGAAATGGTTGACTATTTAGGCATAAAGAAAAATCATTAATGGCTTAAGGCTAATTAGGAAGGAAATCTCTAGTACTCTATGAATCCATGCTTGGTCCTATGCTACTGACTTGAATGAAGGTATGGATGGGATGTTATTTTTGTTTGTTTGTTTGTTTGTTTGTTGTTAGGCAGTTGGGGTTAAGTGACTTGCCCAGGGTCACACAGCTAGTACGAGTCAAATGTTTGGTCTGAGGCCAGATTTGAACTCAGGTCCTCCTGACTTCAGGGCCAGTGCTCTATCCACTGCGCCACTTAGCTGCCCCCATGGGATGTTATTTGTAAAGCACTTAGCACAGCTTCTGGCACAGCAGAGGAACTTAATAAAGACTTATTCTCCTCCCATCCCTTCCCCTATCCTTTGCAGACAATACAAATGTTCCGTTGGACCTATGTGGGTATTCCCTCTAAAAATACAGATCATGATCCACCCATATCTTACCATCTTATACAATGCCTGTGTATAACCTGCCATAAATTTGCCACAGGGGGAATGCCCATTATACTATGGGCCTTCACTGAGTCCTGGAAAGGATAGGTAACACTCTAGACAATCAGGATCTCCCATTTCCACCCCCAACAAATCTCAGCAGGATGAAACATTTGGTTGAGTCTAAGTAGAAGGAAATTAATGGGAATAAATGTAATGTTCTTATCCTTTTTAAAAAAAAAGACCTCATTTTTGATATATTTGTCTGGAAAAAAAATCTAGGTGTCTCAATGGACCACAAGCTTCAAATGTGACAGCCACAAAAGCTAATGCATTCCTTACTGGGTTGCACAACTTCCAGGAATGAGAAGGTCATAGTCCCACAGTACCCTCCCCTGATCAGAACATATCTGGGGTACTGTTTGCGATTCTGGGCCCCACATTTTAGGAAAGACATTTATAAACCAGACAATATAAGAGGGTAACTAGTATGAAAGACCTCAGGCTTGGCTAATGGAAATAGAACGTTTAGCCTGGATAAAAGAATACTCTGGAAATGCAGGATATCTGTGTTCAAATATTTGACAGGCTGTCCTGTGGGAGAGATCAGCTGCCTTCTTCTGTTTGGACCCAAAGAGCAGAACTTGAACCAATGGTTGCAGAGATAGATTTAGTAGCTGATAGAGTGAAAAACTCCCTAACAATGAAAGCTCTTCTAAATTAGAATGGAGAGCTTTTGGAAGCAGTGACCTCATTCAAAGCTTTTCATTTAGAACCAGATGGCCACTTGTAGATGGAATTGGCTTTTTTTTTCTTTTTTTCTTGGACATGGGTTGAACACAATGGCCATAGAGATGCCTTTCATCTCTGAAGTTCTGTGATTCTGTGACTGTACAATTTCTAATTTGTGATCTATGATCTCATACCTTTGTTTAAAATAAAAAAGTCTTATTACTTTATAATCACACACCCTATGGCATGAGTAATCTTTCCAAACTCATCTAAATATGTTTGTCTTGTGTGTGACCTGGTTTCTCAATTCTAGACACCAAGCCTAAATCCTGCTTTCCAAACTGAGCAAAGGAAAATACACCAGAGAAAAATGAAAAGTTGTTTTAAGTGTGATATTTACATTTTAAGAACCTTTACAATAACGACCTTTAAAAATACTTCTTTTTTTCCAATTTTATTAATTTATTGATTTATCAACAATCACTTCCATATGCTTCTGAGTTGAAAATTTTTCTTCCCCTTCCTCCCCCCCACCCATCCCAAGATGGCGCAAAATCTGATATAGGTTTTACATTTACATTCCTATTAAACATATTTTCACATTAGTGAAGTTGTAAGTAAAAATTAAAATGAATAGGAGGACCATCAGAACGATGAAACAAAACTCAACAGAAGGTAAAAATAAGTGATAGTGATTTGCCTTTCATAGTTCTTTCTTTGAATGTGGACAGCATTTTCCATCCCAAGGCTTCTGGAGATGTCTTAGATCCTCATAATGCTGAGAAGGGTTCAGTTTAACAATATTAGTCATTGCATAACATGGCTGTTATTGTGTGCAAAGTCTTCTTGGTTCTGCTCACTTCACTCAGCTTCAGACCATACAAGTCTTTCCAGGTTTTTCTGAAGTCAGCCTGTTCATCATTTCTTATAGCACAATAGTATTCCATTACATTCATATACCACAACTTGCTCAGCCATTCCCCAGTGGATGGGCATCCTCTCAATTTCCAATTCTTTGCCACCACAAAAAGAGCTGCTATGAATATTTTTGTACATGGGGGGTCCTTTTCCCATTTGTTTGATCTCTTTGGGATATAGCCCTAGAAGTGCTATTGCTGGATCAAAGGGTATGCACAAAAAATACTTCTTTAAAATTAAAGATGACATAGGTAGTTAAGTACTACTGTTGAAACCATTGGTCCAAATACCTTCCATCTCAATCCCATCCCAAACCCCCAAATGAATACCATATTGGATGATGATAGGTCTGGACCACTTCTTATAGCCTCAGAGAATAAGAGATTTGGAGCTGGAAGGACTTTTAGAATATATCAGATTCAACCCTTTCCTTTTACAGATGAGGAAACTGAGGGTGAAAGAGGTTAAGAGATTTGCCGAAGGTCACACACCTCTTTGTAATTCCAAGCATAAAGTAAATACAAGGAGGTGGACCAGAAGCCATGTATCATTATATCACAATGAGAGAACGACACAAACTATGTACCACCTAACTTCTTCATGGGGAAACAGGTGTCTGAAGTGTGACAAATCTGATAGAAACACTAAGACTCAAACTAACCTAACCCAAGAATTCATAAATAAGTGCCATGAAAATAATCTGCATCTGTGAGACAGTCAAAGGAGAAGTTTATATATACCAGGAAAATGTGTTTTTCTCTTTCTAAATTTATTTATTAGGTTTATGCAGAATACTTTCTCAAAAAATAAAAACCCCACAAACAAATCATACGTTCCTCTGGGAGAGGTGGGGGAATTAGATATATTTGATTTTAAAATGTATTCCATTTTAATATTCACTATTTTACAATTCCCATCCCAAACTAGGGGAGAGGAGAGGCAGAAAAGATAATAATTTCTATTGTTTTTTTTCCCCATGTGTCAAGTATTTTCTCCCATCAAGTTCAATTTGGATGAAAACAGCTCCCCTCTTTATGCACCAGTCTCAGTAGGAATACCATGTGTTACTCTCTAAAGAAAGTATAAAAATAGAAGGCTTAAAACACATACACACACACGTGCACACACACACACACACATACACACTTTCCTTGGCACTATAATATATCTTTTTCAAACTGAAATAAATGCTAGATTTACAGCAGTGGTGTGAGAGCCCACCAATATCTAAGCTGAACTTTTACCCAAAGAATACTTACTTATTGATTTATCTTGATTTAAGATTTTCTTACCAATTTTATCTGGACTTCCTCCGGCAAAGACTTCATCTGTTCCTCAACTCTATGCATGCATGCAGACATGCATGCACACTCACATATATATGTGCACACACACATATGTGTGTATATATGTATATGTGTGTGTGTATATATAAATATATTAAAAAAAAAAAAAATCTCTCTACTTGGTCAGCTGTTTTTAATTACCTTCATCTGCAAACCTCCAGGTTGGTCTGATTACATGATTGACTCCCACCAGGAATAAATAAGGGCAGATCAGACTGACTCGGCTACCAAGACTTACCTGAACCTGGTGCTGTAATTCTCTTCTATCTTTTGGGATCATTCTTCTGACTTTGCTGCTGCCTCCCTGTATAACTTGCTACCAGTCTTCACTATGGTGGATCAGATTTTCCACTTCCTCTGAAGTACAGCTCAGGTCTCATCAGAGGTATCAAAGGCCTGAGGTCACTTCGACAGCCTGCACTAGATTAAAATGTAATTGGGAAATATTTAATGGAAATAAATAAAAATAGACATAGATAATGTTAATATGTGGTTTTTAAAGTCAATATGTGGTTAAAAGGATCCTTAGGTATGGTTTCATAACCTCCATTTCTATTTGAGTTTGACACCACTGCCCTACAGGAATTCCTTTCTGAGGTTTTCAACCTGCATCCATCTTTTTTCATAAAGCTAAAAGATATTTACAGGTTATTTTGTCTGATCCTCTTATTTCACAGATGGAGGTACTCAGGACCAGATACTAAGGGATGGCTTGCTCTAAATCACAAGTCTCAGTACTGGCAGAACTGACTAGCGTCTAGGTCTTTAATTAAATTCAAAATCAACAAATGTTTATTAAGTGTCTACTACATGCATAAGCAGGGTTGCCCCACTAAGGTTTCTGCAAAGACTGAAGGTCTGCCAGGCTAAAAGACAATGACATTGAAATGTAAAGAGGAAAATGCAAAATAGATATTCTCCACCCTAGAAAGGATAAGAAGCTTGAATAGCTCAATTGTATATGCAAAGACCATTGGAACAAGGAGCTTGCCTCAAGTGCACAGAATGCATTCATACCTTTGTCTCTAGCCCCTAATCAACATAAGATTCCCAAAGGAGTATGGGAAGTAGAACTGACTGCATTCAAACTTATCAACCTAAGGCAACAGGAGGTGGTTAATGAGGGGAAGGGTTACGGAAGAAGAGACTCAGGATGGATCTTAGGAAATCAAAAGACATTTAGGTCAGTGCCAAACTAATTGTCATTGCCCTAGCTAAAAGAACTCTGTAATACTTGAGCTACAAAGAACATGCTAACTTTCCAGGTGAAAAAAACACAGGACCACCCAGCCAAGCCGATTGCCCAATGAAGAGAATCCAAGCATATCCATCCCATGCATCTAGTGGAGATGCTGGACCCAGACAAGAGACCAGACTAGCAAGTGAGGAGCCTGCCTGGCTCTGTTTGATAGCCAATGTCCTGTATGTAGCACAGCCGGTCCAGCAGCATCTGATCCTGGTAAGGAGCCAGTGTGGTCAACTGCTAGTACTAGTTCAGTGGCAGACTGGCCTATTCAGCTGAAACACTATACCTTGGGAAGGCCAAATGAAGCTAAGCCTCCAGTCCCACAGAGACATTATACCTTTCAAGGAGCCTGCCCAGCCAAGCAGTAAAGCATCTCATGACACCAAGCCCTGCAGCAGCCACTCTAGAGAATCATGACAACCCTCCGGAGAGAGAAAATTCTGTGACTGCCAAGGACCTGCATTTCTAGACTTGCAAGTTGCTATGATCACTTATGTTTTATATATATATGTATATATATATATATATATATATATATATATATATATATATATATATATACATACATATATATATATATATGTATATATATGTATATATATATAATATATATATATATATACCATTCCTCCTCTCCCTGACACCAAGACTATTTGTGTGAGAGTATTCTCCTGATGTTGAAGAAAATGCTTTTTAACTACTAATCTTGCTATGCAATTTAAGTAAATATATTTTCTAAAAAACTGAGTCTACTGGCTGATTGCATAGGGGAAAGCACAATGATGGGGGCTTATAAGTTAGTGTTAGGCTACACTGCCAGCACCAATGAAGGTTGGCCTTGAGGGATATATTACACATGCAAGACATTGTGCTGGGCTCTGCAGATCCAAGAATAATCACAACAAAATTCCTTCCCCCCCCAAGATGTTGAATTCAAGGAACTTCTCCAGTTTGGCTGGTGCATGGTGTGCATAGAAAGGGAGATTGGATTCAGACTGCAGAAAATCTTAAATGACAGGCTGAAGAGTTTGTCTTATCATAGCGGCAATAGGGTACTTCTGAAGTTTATAAGATATGTGAGTGACCTGGTCAGCCCTGAGCCTTTAAAAAGATTACTTTGATAGTCCAATGAAAGATGGATTTAGAGGGGGGTGAGACTGGTGGCAGAATATCAATTAGAATGCTATTGAAACAGTTGTCCTTGTTGTTTGTCCTTTGTTTTCAAAGAGGACCAATGACATCATGGGGTGATATCTTGACTCTGCCTGAATTGGATTTCAGTGAGACAGAGCTGCCCAGGGTGATCAGCCTCACTCTCTCTTCCAGAGTCATCAAAGTCCAGTGGCAAGACAAAAGTCAAGATGCCTGTGGGTGGCCCAGGATGCAGTCGATGACCTTGTTGTCTTCAAGGTCCAGGCAAGCTCTAAGCACTCCACAGAGCCTGCTTCAGCCACCTTCATGGCAGGGGGAAGTCTTCACATGCTTGGGGTAGACATCCCCCTAACTCGGTTACCCTCAACCTGGTTTAGCCTGTCTGACAAGGGTTTTACCTGGGCGTGGCTCCTGCGCAGACTACAACTTCTTGGAGCCACTGGTGAGAGCTGAATGATAGTAGAGGTGAGTGGTGATAAGGGCCAACCCTTACCCAAACCTCTTTTATACTCTCTCTCTCCCCACCCTCCCACCCATATCAGTTGGAAATACCAGTAGGTTTAAAATTTCTATTGCCTACAAAAGGGACTGGGCCAAGCTGGGGAGGATGGTTGTATGAATAGAAAGTCTACGTTATAAAATTAAGCACCTGCTTTTATGTTACCCTGTATTTTTTTTTTAGTTCCACGTATGTAAAACCTCTCCAACTAAAAGGAAATATAAAGAAAGAGGCCAACTGCTCGGAACCAGCTCTCCCCAAGCTCTGAATTACCATAACATTTGTAATCTGTGCGACATATACTAGCATAGAATTCTATAGGATGGTGTACAGCTCCCTAATTGTTTCATATGTTTATGCCTTGTTCCCCTAAATATATCATAAGCTTCCTGATGGCAGTCATCCTGTCTCATGCTTAATCTCTTTTGTAGCCCCTTCACCATATCGGTTGGAAACTAGTGAGCTCTATCATTCCTACTGCTTACACAGGGGACTGGGCCACTGAACAAACTAGGGGGAAAAGTCTTCATGAAGAAATAGGACATGTTAATAGGAATTGGTAGGTTGCCATGACAAATCAGGAGTGGTCAAAGATAACCAAACTCAAAGGGCTAGGGCAGAGGCAGGGAAAGGAGTCTGTAGCAACAGTTCAGAGAGAAGGAAGTTAGCACTGGGTCATGAAAAACACACTATAAAATGGGGCAGTAGGTACTGGCAAGTTTTGTTTGTCTTCCCCAACTTCTCCACTCAAGACAGTGAATGCCCCCTCCTTGCCACACCATAATTAGGCCATAGGAGTTTACTAAATACTTCTTAATTGGACTGATAGAGTAATATAATGGATAAAGTGCCAGATCTGATGTCAGGAAGACTTAGGTTCCATTACCACACCTCTGGCACTTATTAGCTACTTAAACATAGTTAATTAACCCACCTAAGCCTCAGCCTCCTCAAGGCAGGGAGAAGAATAATCTCTGTACTACCTGTGTCATACAGTAATGTGAGACTCAAATAGCTAAATGTGGATATTTTTGAAAACAGATACATAGCTTATCAGGTATGGATACATAATAGAGTGCCTTTCAGTGACACTCAGGGACAACACGTAGATCCCTAACCCTCTTTGCTACTGGCTTAGCAGCTAATTCATACCGCTTAATGTGTTGTTCAGTCTTTGCGGTTTTCTTAGCAAAGATAATAAAGCGATTTGGCATTTCTAGAGGTTAAGTGACTTGCCCAGGGTCACACAGCTAGCAAGTATCTGTGGTCATATTTGAACTAAGATCTTTCTGACTCTATCCACCAAGCCACCTAGCTGCCTCTATGTTCTAAGATACTGTTAGTAAATTTAAAAAATTATAGAAAATCTTTCTCCAACTGGCTTAGTCTCCACCTCTGAATAAAACAATGTTGTGGGTTTTTTTTCTTCCCAGGATAATTTCCCCTCTCTCAATCTCAAACTGTGAATGCAGGCTTAGATAAAATCACTGTTAATGGCCACATAACATTAGCAATATCAAAAGGCAACACATTTTCCAACATCTTCCCAGCTATTTGCAAGAGATTTCTGAAGAAAGGGATTGATTGAAACTTGAGCTCTGAGGAAAATAGAGGGGAAGAAAGATGCTGTTGATGGAACTTCACCCTCAAAGGGTATAGCCTGGCTTCAGCTGCCGGCCACAACTGCCGTGTCCTATCTTCTTTCCTCATGCTGTCCAGACTCATCCACTTGCTTCTCCCTTCAACCTCTTCCCTTCCCCTGTCTACTGTCCCTAAACTTGGGTGAAAGTCCCTGCCTTCAGGCCACTGGAACAGCAAGACAAAGTTTTCCTGAGTGACAGTGAGCAGTCAAATCCCAGGATTCCCTCTTCTCTCAGAAAGAATCCTCCAAAGTCTCTATAATCCTGGATCTAAGCAGCCTAAGGAGACAGATTTAAAATGCTTCACAAATGTCAGTTATTATTGTTATTGATTAGTAGATGTTCAATAAATATGTCATGGATTTAATAAAGCTTACTTGCGCTGCACCCTCAAGAATTTTAATTTCAGAGACGTATATAACAAGAATGTGGCAAAGAATGTTGATTATGTTTCCCTGCAGAGGGGAAAGGAATATTGGTAGTTCTGGCTATTTGGCACTAATGAGGAAGACAGAACACTACCTCATACTGCTAACCAATTCACAGAGCATCTCTTTTTGGCAACAAACATTTGATGTACTTTCTTAGGAAAAAAAAAATTAAATCTGGAACTCTCGACAAATTATTAGTACTTTCCATACTTTCATATACTCTGCCATAATCATGGAGATGGATTAATTTTGCATAGCAATATAATTATATGTATATTTTAATTTAATTCAATAAGTATTTAAGGGCCTACTACATGCCAGGCATTGATTGACACTGGAGATTTTTTTTAAATGGTAAATTCAGGATTACTTTTTCTTTTTTAGTGAATTATACTCTAATTTTACATATTGCAAAGTTATTAAAATATTTCTTGAATAAAGACAGGGAAGCT